GAAATATAGGATCTTTTCCAAGTTGCTAGCTTTCTTGAAAATCTGTCCATGATTGGATCTTAAAAAGCAATGGATTTGGGGTATCCTTCTAGCGGTGGGCCTAAGTGCCTCACCGACTATTTTCCTTTTATACATCTGAGGATTGATACATATCTCTCAGCTGCTTCCTCATCCAAGTTATTTCCTAGAAGACAACTTTTGTTATCTTCTCAAAGGAATGTATTTGCAAGTGCATATTCTTGGCTTCTTCCTCCCTTAAGTCTTCACAAAACAAATTGGCATCACCTGTAAACTTAAATGAGTCACCACAGTTTCCCCTACTTCCTATCCTCCATCAATTGCTGCTTGCTCAAAACATCCACAAGCCATGTGAAAAGGAAGGGAGATGAGATAATTGACCTCCTTGTCTCAAACCTTTCTTGGCATTAAATGGGAAAAAAAAAGTTTTGACCTCTCCACCAATCGAGATAAAATAGAACTGATTGAATACATCATTTGATCCATTTTCTCCATCTTGCCAGTTGCCCCACACCCATATCTCCCCAGTGCCTTATTTAAGTGTTATCAATTTTTTTTTTTGAGAAGTAAAATTAGAATTTTTATTAAAGGGAAAAAAGAAGTTACAGCAGGAGGTGACAAGTCATCACCCGAATACAAAGACCAAAATTCAGATTAGAGAACATTTTCCACAATACATATATGAAAATCCAGGATTTTTTCTATTCTAAAACCAAAGTCTTCTCTTTCTACTTGACTGAACTCTGGAAGAATCAGCAACCAGTCTATCACTGGTCTACCCACAACTGCAACCATCTTGTCCATGCTGCAAGCTTTATCTTCAAAGATCCTTCTGTTTCTCTCTTTCCAAATGTTCCAGCAGATTGCAAATGAGATACAATTCCATAGCAATTTTACCTTCTTACTCCCACTCAGCCTGGGCCAAGTAGAGAAAATCTCAGCTGTTGAAGCTGGGTGAAAGCCTGAGACCCCAAACATAGATGTGAACACTTTCCATAAGAAGCTTGACAACTTGCAAGATATGAATAAGTGAGTAGCATCCTCTTCTTGTCCTTCACACAGACAGCATCTGCTAACCATGCTAAAACCTCTAGACTTCAGATGATCAACTGTCAATACACTGTCCATGGCTACCAGCCAGGCCAGAGCCTCAACTCTTGGAGGGACTGGGTTTCCCCAAATGCCTTTAATATGACTTGAGGCTGAGATAGATCTGCTGAGAGCCATATAACATAAGTGTTATCAATGCACATGATCATTAGGTCTTCTCCACATCTAATTTGCAAATCCAATCTCTCTTGCTAAATTTTCTTCTCTCTACCACACATTCATTTGCAGTCAAGCTTTGTTCAATGATCTTCCACCCTTAACAAAGGCTTCTTGATATGGTTATATTAATGAAGGAAAAATCTCTCAGTTTCAAGGTAGGACCTTAGCAATGATTTTGTATAGGCTACCCACAAGGTTCATTGGTTGGAAATCTTTAGGATGGATAGCATCTTGCTTTTTAAGTACCAAGACCATGAAGGTGGAGTTTGCTCTAATGGTGATGATTCCTCTATCATGAAATTCTCTAAATACTGCAAAAACATCAGTTTTGATCATGTTCCAACATTCCTGTTAGGGCATAATGAAGCCATTGGGGCTAAAGGCCTTGGGTTTCTCAAGAACAAACATTGCTTTCTTGACCTCATCCATCTCAAAGTGCTTTTCAAGAGAATCTGCTAGGGACCCATCTGACGGCCACTCTAGTCTGTTCATTCTCATCTCAGTGGGGATGGCTGACCATAGATTTATTTGAAGAACTCCAACAAAACCCTAGCAATCCCCTCTTTTCTGTGAATGTCTTCCCCTTCTCATTTTTTTGAAGAGTAATAATAAAAATTTATTAAAAGAAAAGATCACAACACCCACAAAAACAGAAAGTGCCATACTAAGAGCTGTCATAATTCTGTATCTCACGTACATTTCAAAAATTCGCCCCCATATCTGACCTACGTCCTCAAACATCCCAGATCTTCTCAAAAGTTGGCTCTTTCCCCTTCTGAGTTTGGACCATCCGAGCTTGTCGCCCCCACCTCCAAGCTCCATTCGACTCCTCCCCCTTTGACACCATCTCTCCCTCCATCTTCTTAGGTTCCTGACTGGCACCCTTTGTCCCTTCACTTTTAGTTGACTCTTCCCTCGAAAGGCTTACCAAAAGATCTGGCTTCTTTTCCACCACCCTCGAAAACTGACCATCCCTAACAGGAAAGACAGGTCTCTGCAATTTGGGTTTGAAAACCCTTCTAGTGTAAACCTTTTTAAGTTTATTGGTTGGGCCTGCCCCAATGGTACCCTCCTTAAGACGTGAGAAAACCTTGGTATCGTGCACAATGTGAGTCTTGTTTGAAGATCTTATCTTCTCATTCCATCTTTTATATGGAGTTCTTCCTCTTACAATTTTTTTTTTTTTATCAGCAACACAAAAATCCATTCATTCATTAACTTTAGTAAGAAAACATTACAACCAGAAGTTGTGTAAAAGTTGTCAATCCCATTACAGGACAGACCCACTCAACTGTATTACAAATGAGCCTAGTACATATGTGTTGTCTTTGAATCCCTTTCTTAGCTAGGCCATCTGCCAGACTATTAGCAGATCTCCTAACCCACTTTATTTGAATGGTCATATCTTTTGATAGCCATTTGAAGTTCCTGAATTCATTTCTAAGCTGTCAAACCCCTCACCTTTCTTTAACCATCCCACTACCAGCTTTGAATTACCTTGAAGAACCAACCTCCCAATTCCAGTTCTTTAGCCATCTTTACCCCAAAAATTGCAGCTAAGAATTCTGCTCTTACAGAACCACCTTGCTCAACTGGGATTGGGTACAGTGCACATATAATACCACCCTCATCTCTTATCTCCCCTCCAATTCCTGAAGGACCTGGATTGCCCACACTACTACCATCAAAGTTCAATTTCAACCACCCGCCCGTTGGGGGAGACCACACCTCTAGTGGTTTTTGTTTCCTAGAGGAGGATCCGGCTATGGCCCCTCAATTCTTGAAGAAATCTACCACTTAAAGTCTGAGAACAGATTCAAGGTTTTCACCTAAGTTGCTCCTCTCAGTGTTATGATTTCTGTCAATGCCTCCTTGCTCCTCTTCTCAAAAATCCTTGAGTTTCATTCTTCTCATATTGTCCAAATCACCATTGCACGTGTGCACCTCCATAGAATCCTGCCTCTCCTATTTGTGCATTTCAACACAGACGGGCTAAACACTAGCAGGAGGGTTCTACTTGAAACCAAAAAGGGAAATAACCCTTCCCAAATATAGCAAACAAAGGGACAGGAGATTAAGAAATGAAAAGCAGTCTCACACTTTCACCATACAACTTACATAAGAAACACCAGTTAGGGGACAAAGACCAGTTTGGTATTTTCTTCTGCAGTAGATCATAAGTATTAATGCTTCCATGGAAGACTTCCCAACAAAGATCATTGACCTTAGGGAGAATAGGCAAACACCAAATTTCTTTTACAGGGCCTTGATTATCCAAACCCTCATCATCTAGGGCTACAGAATCCAAGAGGTGCATCAAACTAGACACAAAGGAGATTTCCAACTCCCTGAGATTCCTAGTGAAACCCAAATTCCCATTCAACCTAGAAGGTGAAACCCAAATTCCTCGTACCATTACATGAAAGTACTTTGCATTTCCATCCCGTCCTTTATCCATTAGCTTCTTTACTTTTGTCTCCAAGAAATTTTTTCTCTTCTCACTAGTCGATGAAATTCTACCTTCAAGTTCCATCTCATGGTAATTTCTTTTGAAGTGATCTCCCCTTGATCTTCTAAAGAGTCCACTTCCCTCAATTTGTTTAATTGTGATCTTTTTCTCATGTATTGCCAAAGGTCTCCTTGTTTCAACTTTCAATTCCTCAATTTAGTTCTCAATATTTTGAATTTCTTCCCAAATTTAAATCATTCCCAGTTGACTTCCACCTGCATCTTCTCCCACCATTATCTAACTGTATTTTACAAACCTCAGGTGGGTTAACATATCCTCAAATCTAAAGGGACAATGATCACCTCTTGCTTTGTTGAAGGACAACAACTCAATAGGGCAATGATCAGAAACATGTCCCCGAGTCCATGTAAATGCAGCTTGAAGCATGGCAGGCTCTTTCAGTTCACATCCATTAATAAACCCATTAAATTTCCTCATTCTCTATGCTGTGCTTTGGTTAGGATTGTTGGACTCTATGGCGAACCTTATGACAATAATATCACCTAAACATCACAGTCCATTACATAGAGCTAGAATTGCAGATAACTCTTCCCAAAATGCACCCCATTCTATAATCCATATATGATTTAGGCCCATAAACATTGGTTATTTGGTTAGTTAGCACCAACTCAAAGCCATCCTCTAGATTACTGTGTACTAGACGCTATGAAATAACCAAATTCCTTTACACATTAATAGGTATCCTTATTACACTATGTTATGATCCTTCCTGAGTCTCTCCACTATGGTGTCATTGACCAGCTAACCTCTGTATCCTGTAATGTTAAATGCTCCTTATTTTCTTACCATTAATTTCCCCGAAGGTCCTAATTTAGATTCTTACAATAGCACAAATGTCTGGCTTGGCTTTCCTTATTGTTTCCTTTATTCTCCTTTTTTCCATCACTTCCTACCCCCACATTCCAAATTCAGTATCCTCAGTTTTGTAGTTTGGAAGTCCTTCCAGTACTACATATTACTCTCCTCCTCCCCTTCCCCCATTATTGCATTCGATCTCACACGTCAATCTTTCCACTTTATTCATCTTCCTTCTTCCATTGGGCCCAGGTTCACCACTCTTTGGTAGACTAGTTTCTTATCATTTTATATTTAAACTCCCAATTTTTTCCCACAAATTCCTTAACTGGACTGCCTACTTAATTTTTTTTTTTTTTTTGGGTTCTGTTCCTATCTTTCTTCTTGTGTTTACTGTGTATTCTGTGCAAAGTAGAGTGCGACCTTCCTCCTGTTCTAACCGTTCTTCACTAACAAGCTCACTAAACACTTCTTGAACTATCCTTCATATCCTGTCTCTCTTCTCCAACTCTTTCAATTCCTCTACTATTTCTGTCATCCTATTTATTTTCCCCTTCCTCGCCATGAGTTAGATGCCCAAGGCTGAGATTCTAGATTATATACAAAACCAGTATTGGATGAATTTATACGAGCAACAGAAATAACATGAGCATTACCTTGGGCTACTGAAGGATGATCCAGCTCAACATTCCCTTCATGTTCCCCACAGACCTTCCCTGTTTTGATTTTCTTTTGTACACCAATGCCTCTGTAGGTATAGGCCCATTGATTGAGAGAGTTTCTTCCTGATTCTTACCTTTTCATGCAGAGAATTTTTACTTGGTGTTGGCCCCTGTTGATTTTCTTTCATACACCTATGGCTCTGTAGGTATAGGCCCATTGACTGAGAGAGTTTTCTTTTGACTCTGACCTTGGCATGCAGAGAATTTAGACTTGGTGTTGTCCCCTGTTACCAGTTGTATATCTCGCACTAACAAGGAACCTACTGCAATTTTTGCAATATACAAGGTATCTGTCCATCTTCATTTACTGCACTTTGAGTGGCTTTAACCAAAACTGCATTAACTGAGACACCACATGCCACATCTTGGATTTTTCTATCCTTAGGTTCTCCATCAATGAGAACTCACTTTGATCTCATCACATAGAGGTTTCTGCTTTCAGGATCCTTTCCGGCCACCCACCACCCATACTCTTGCAAACTTCAGGTTATTATGCAATGTGTCTTCATTGATCTGAATGAAACCTCTGCAGAGATCAGCAAGCTTCTTAAGAGTCCCTACTGACCAGAAATTAAATGGTAGGCAATATATCCATACTTCAATCAGCTGTGATGCACTTGCATCAACTTTATTAGCTGTCACACACTATTTAGTTACTAATAATGGCCTTTCAATCGACTGAATGATCTTTGCTTCATGCTCCGTCAGCAATTGTAGAAAAAAATAGGGCTTTGCTTCTCCCATGTGGCATGAAATCTGTCTGCTGGGATTTTTAACTCTGCTCTAATTGTCCCCACCACTATTCTCCAGCTTGCCACCATTTTATTTGCTGCCTTTTCCAACTCCTGTTCCTATGACATTTGCAATCCCTGCTATAGTCGTGAATGAAGTTTGCGCTTCATATTTAACATCCTTGTGCCCAGCTTTCTAATTCATTTCTTTGCTCGCCATCACCATCAGCTCAATGCTTGCCATGAACTTTTGTGTAGTGTTATACATAGCTTCCCTACTTCTTTAATTTTGACTTTCTGGTATACAGAGCATTTGCTTCCTCTTTACTGAAAATACTTCCATCAACTGAACAATCCTTCCTTTTGAGTTTTCTTTCCTTTTAGTTATGTATTTCTGACTACTTATGTTAGCTTCATTCCTCCACAGTTCTTTCTTTTCTGTTAGATTGCTTCATGAATGTCCCTTGAACCAGCAAATTATGTTCCTGGTTAATAAGACCATCACTTTCCTTACTGACCTATCTTCATTACTGCCTGGTTTCTGCTCCTGTTTCTAATCTATTCTACCATGAATGTCTTCACCTTGATTTTACAATCTTCCTTCATTTCACCACCTCGTGAGCTCCATTACACCCTGAAGTTTCTTCCTCATACATGAAATTTCTACTATGAAATTCTTGTTTTGCTTTTAAGTTTCTTTTAGAACATTTTGGTGGCATATATTTGCAGCATGCAGAAGATTATGCTGTAAGCTTTCCGCTGACATACCTGCATTTCACATCTTCTAGCCGCACAAATGGGGCTCCAAGACAACCCCAACATCACACAACTTGTGTCATATTTATGCCTAACATTTTTTGTTGACCATTTTTCCCATTCCATCTCCCTTTTTAGAAAGGATTCAATAAGATCATGCCGTTACAAGAAATATTTCTTTCTTGTCTGTATTAAGCTAATTGGTTTAGTGGCTATTTATTCTGTAACAGAATAACAGAAAAAGGAAACAACCAACTTCTTCTGGGGCTGCTAACAGTACTGGTACAGGAAATACTGTGGGCCCCTCACCCAACTCTCCACCATCAACTCCATCAACTCACACACCTGGTGATGCAGTGGCTATGACCAGTGGATTGCAGCATGTTAACAATATGCAGAAGAGCTTGATGATGTATGGTGCAGATGGGACAGCTGGTCTTGCATCATCTTCGAATCAGCTGGTATATTTCTAACTTTATCTGATTTACATAAGATATATTTAAGTGCAGTAAATTCAGTATAAATAATGTTATTCTTGTATCAGACATGCATTATAAGCAGCAGATCTGTCAGACGGTTCATGAAGAGGAGTTACTTCCTAATTTATGATAGCTTACTTTTTTCTGTTAATATGACTTCATAATATTAGCTTATTTAACAACCAAGTAGAAAGAATGAAAAGATGTCTATCCATATGCTACATAATTTATGGTACAATTAATTTATTGAATAAACTATGTAACTACTTGTAGGAAAATCATCAGGGTTAGCATGTTTTGTGTTTATCACTTCATATCCAATGTTGATATTGGTTACCTGTCTATTTCTCATAGCTCGGAAATCACTCTTCATGTCTCACTTTCTAATTCATTTCTTATCATGCTGTTATATTTTTAGGAAGATATGGAACATTTTGGTGATGTGGGTTCCTTGGATGATAATGTGGAATCGTTTCTCTCTCATGATGATGGAGATGGGAGGGACCTATTTGGTACAGTAAAACGAAGCCCTACAGAGCACAATACAACAGAATCTTCTAAGGGTATTTAGCTATTTACTTTTTATCCATCCATTGTGAAAGTGATTGTTCAGATTAATAGGAACTAACTGTAATCAGATTCACCTTTTCAGGTTTTTCGTTTAGTGAAGTTGGTTGTATCCGCACAAGCAATAGTAAAGTTGTCTGCTGTCATTTCTCTTCAGATGGAAAGCTTTTGGCTAGTGCTGGTCATGAGAAGAAGGTACTGCTTGTTTGTATATCTAGTGACCAAGTATTGATATCTGTAGCAGTCACTGCTAGGATGGGCATTAATATCATTTTCTAGGACTATAATAATTTTTGAATCAGTACAAATTGATAATGCACAAGCACAAACAAGCATTGTAAGTAACTGTTGCACATAGGGCTGTAAACAGGTAAGATTCTGATCGGATCCAGATACATTACATACAAAACCGGTCTGATTATTGAAATTGCAAATCTGAATCTGATCTCAGTCCAATATTTCAGATTTTGGATTGGATTGGATTTGGATTTAGTCTGACACTGCTCTATATTAAAATAAAGAAAAAATAATTATTTTTAACTTATATGATATATAAATATAAATATATATATATATATGTCCGATTGGGTATTGGATTTTCAGTTCATTGACAGCCTTAGTTGCACATTGGAACTGCTTATTTACCTGTTCTTTCTGGGGGGGGGGTCTTCATGTCAAACTGATTGAGCTACTCTTTTTCTCTTGAAAGAATTGATTCATTGAATTACTTGTTTATTACAAGTAAAAGGATGAGTGAACACTAAGCAAAAAGATGATGTGGATACTTATCTGTATTTCATGTCAGTAGGCTGTTCTTTGGAACATGGACACACTGCAGACAGAGAGTACTCCAGAAGAACACACACTTATAATTACAGATGTTCGTTTTAGGCCAAATTCAACTCAGCTGGCAACATGTTCGTTCGATAGGACCGTGCGCCTGTGGAATGCGGCAGATGTAATGATTTCTACTTCCATTTTTCCTTTCTGTAATGTTTGATCTTTCCTAGTATATTTGGACTTTGGTTGTGGTTTAATAGTTATTGGACTCTTTTCTTCCCTTTATTTATCAATGTTGGTTTGTAAGCCTAAAATGTAGGATACCAAATTTGTCTCTTCTGTGGTAATAGTAAGAAACTGTCATACTCCATGGCTTGTTCTGTTGCTTCCCCAAGGAAGTTGCTCTTGGTAATGTAGCTTCCAGTCATTTTTCTTATCATTCAGTTTTCTAGCCGACTTCAGAGCTTACTGCTCCCAAGAAGATCTCCATAACCATTTTGGTGTACTGAATCTTTATTAGACTAGCAAGACACCCGTGCGATGCATGGGATTCTTTAAAAATTGATGATAATATGTATAAAGATAAAGAACAGATATAGATTAATTAATTTAAATTATTGAAAAAAATTGGCATAATAATTATTAGGAACAGTACTTTGAAATAATTTGAACTTTTGGGTTGAAGCTATACTTGACTCATAAGTTAATTGTTGAATTTAAAAAAAATCATTAAGAAAATTAGCCCTAAACTTGTGTGTTATTTTTTTTACACCCTACATTCTTAAATGTTACTGAAATTTTATCAACTGCTAGCCTGTAAAATACTTTCATATCAACCCTTAACTTTAATGGACCCAAAGTCATCTCGGTTCCTCTTGATTTTGCTGCTGTAAATCACAGTAGCAAGCTGGCCTTTCACCGCCCTTTTACTGCTATAAGGTATAGCAATTATAGATCTTGAAACCACCCTTTACCCCTCATTTGTTGTAGGAATCTGAATCCATCATATGCCATCTAAACCACTCTAAAGTAACCTTTGGTTGCTATTCCCAATGCATTTCAACTTGCAAGCCCGAGTTGGATATGCTCCTAAGAAAAATTGTCCCAACATGCTTCTAAGTTCTCACATGCATGATCATAAAACTGGAACCCACCATGTCGTAGATGTGTAGACACAGATCATGTTGGAACATTTTTCTATTGGGAACAAAACTGGTCTCTGCAACTCCCCCGCCCCCTCCAAAGTCCCCTCTCTCACAACTGAGTTTTAGGGCCTGTTTGTTTGTTCTGACGTCTGACATCTGAAAGTGCAATATTAAAAGGTATATTGGTATTGATGAACTTTTCTTTCCTCTGAACTCTGAATGCAGAGAATATTGTTATGAATTCTGAAAATTGTTAAATTCCATTTTAACTCCATTTATGAGAATTTTTGTTTGTATTTTGGGGGTATCATTGGAAAACAAAATGTTGTAAGATTCCTCTTTAAGAGATAAGAGGAAATGAACACCCATTTTCCTCTTAAAGTTGTAATCTTAAAGAGATAAGAGTTAAGAGGAAACGAACAGGCCCTTAGTCATAAGTAAAGGCTTTAGTTTTCTACTAACATTATGACAGAATTTGACCTCCAAAATTCACCGCAGTTATTTCTTTGTTCTAGAATGAATCATAACAAGGGTTCATATATAGGGATGGCAATTTTCCCCATCCCTGTCTGGTACCTGGCTTCCCCGAACCCATCGGATCAGGGATGGAGATTGCCTTGGTGGGGATGGGTGGGGAGTGAATTCCCTGTGCTGCCCCGACCCCAATTATATATTAAATATATGCATATATAATATTATTTATATCAAAATATATTTTAAAAATGCCCTTATTTTAAGTAAATCTATTTTTTAAAAACAATTTTCTTTGTTGGGGATCGGAGATGGAGGGTCATTTTTATCCCCGTTGGGGGTTGTGGTTGGAGACGGGGAATATGGTCCTTCCCCGTTGCCATTCCTAAGGGTTTAGCCCCAAGACTCCTCCAAGAGGTCTTGATATTTTGTTATGACTCATTCATCGTAGAGCTTTCACCTTAAAGCCCATTCATGGTATTCTGTTATGACTCGTATTGCATTAGAATGAAATCTATATTCAGAATCTCATATATTATTAGTCTAGAGCAAAATGTTCATCAAAGAGACAAAACTGGAGTGATCAATAATAAAGCTTGGTGTTTACACAGCCTAGGGATTTGTCCCCACTTTTGACTTTTACCTTAACCTAAAACACACACATACAAAACTGCATGCATACATGTTTCAATAATATGCAAGGTTAAATATATACCTTAACAGTTAAACCTTGTCAAAAGACAAAACATTAGGAAAAAAACAGTTTGGAAGGAACAAAGGATAAAACTAGTCTATTTCCTACCTACAGAATTAAGTTCATCAATAAAACTGTACACTATGATGGAATGCAATAATACAATACCCAATTTTCTCATACAACCAACATAATAAAATTGATAATTTAAAAAAAAATGATAATAAAATTGATAGTAGATGGTCTTCAACATATAATAGAAAGACTGACCAGCCCTGCAAAACAATGAAAGAAAAGGCAAAAAATCAGTTGAAAAAGGAAGTAATAAGTGATTTATTTTCAAAAGAAAGAAAAAGAAGGGCATCTATGTCATCTTTTACACTGTGAAAAATTTTTTTTTAGATAAATGTGAAAGTCAATAGAAAGACTCACTCTCTCTTATGTTCCTTCAACTTTTACCATAACCAACCACAGCCTAAGGATTTTTCCCCGCTTAGAAGGCATCCTAAGTCACTCTCTCTACTCTGTTTTCAAGAAACAGAAAAATGATGGATTTAATTGAAGAAGGTGCATATGGTACTTTCTGATGCACAATAGTAAGAAGATGAATGGACAAAAACAATAGTGGTCTTGGCCTCAACGTATAATTCTAGCCAACCTGTTTGATATGTAGCTATTTTGAATATGCAAACATATCATACATTTGCAGATGTAAGAATCCTTAACTCATACATATAGTTCAAAAGTAGAAAATTAAACCTGATCATCTTAAGCACATGATTGGGAGATTGAGGAAAAATACTTGAGAGGTAAATCAATAACCTGCAAGTAAAAATAGAACAAAGGTACATAGAAATTAGGTTAGGTTTGGGAGAAGCCTTATTACTCTAGAAACTGGGAGTTCAGAAAAGAATACACAATCTTCTTCAACGTATAAAAACAGAACAAATGTACATAGAAATTAGGTTAGGTTTGGGAGAAGCCTTGCTTCCCTAGAAAGCTGGAGTTCAGAAAAGAATACCTGATCCTCTTGAATGTATGATCGAGAGCTGGAAAAGAGGTTCACATATCCATTTGAGAGCTAAATGTATCTACCTGTAATGATACATTTACAAAGACCTGTGTATACGTAGCCGTTACTCGAACTTAAAGGAGTTAAAGACAACATTATGCAGCTGTTATTCAAAGAGTTGGAGGAGAATTACTCAGATTTAAGAATGAGTTTTAAATAAATCCATATTTATAATAGAAATGGATGAGGATTGAAGGAAAAAAAGGCATATAACAGGGGGAGAAACAACATATGGGGAAAACTAAAAACCATCACTCATGTGAGAAGGGACAAGGGAGAGACTAGAGGAACTTGTGTGAGCAATGTAGTAAGAGACCTCTTACCTTCTCTTGTTCCTCTTTCTATTATAGATATAGATTTCTGATGCATTGGAGGTGCTAATCCAGATTTCACAATTTTTGACATCCTTTAACCTTTTAATTACAAGGTTATGTTTAAAATTTTGTCCCAACTGCTAGACATCCATTTGGTTTATAATAAAATCATTACCTTCAAAATCCATTGCATATGTAACATCAGCACATGATTTTTTTTATTATCTATGGATATCCTGAACAGGCATTTCAGTTATTTTGCTTTCTTTATATTTACTTTTACCAGTTAAATACTGCTAATATGTGATCACTAAAATACGGTTTTATCATGTTCTTCCATTTTTTTTTTTTGCAGCCAAGCTTCTGTCTACATGTTTATACCGGTCACAATTCACATGTGATGTCATTAGATTTCCACCCTAAGAAGACTGATCTTTTTTGCTCTTGTGATGGAAATAATGAAATTCGTTTTTGGAGTATCAGTCAGTATTCATGCACTCGAGTTTCCAAGGCTAGTCCATGAACCTCTATCTCTATCACATTCATGTGTGTGTGTGTGTGTGTGCATTTACATTATTAGAGATTCTATTGTTGTTTACTTCGTGACTTTGTGTCCTTATTTGTTGTCTACTTGTTTTATGGAGTAGGGAGGTACAGCACAAGTGAGATTTCAACCAAGAATTGGGCAGCTACTGGCAGCTGCAGCAGATAACGTGGTATCTATCTTTGATGTTGAGACTGACAGGTTGACACACGCATTACAGGTAGTCTAAAAGATCAAGACCTTACTAGCTCATACCTAGGCAGAACATATGGGAGCTCATTGACAGATCTAGGCACTGATGAAAAACAACATCCATTAGCTTATTTTTGTAGCTTTTATGTAAAACTTGATTTTATTTTCAGGGTCATTCTAAAGAGGTACATTCTGTTTGCTGGGATTCAACTGGAGATCGGTTAGCCTCTGTCAGTCAGGACTCTGTGAGGGTATGGTCATTAAGTACAGGAGAGTGCATTCACGAGCTCAGCTCCAATGCAAACAAGTTCCACTCTTGTGTTTTTCATCCAGCTTATCCTACTCTTTTGGTTATTGGTGGCTACCAGGTAATTCCATGCTATTACCACTATATTTATTGTTTTTTTCTTAAAAAGTAAAAGCATATTGTATTAATTCTAATTTGGTTGGCTGTACATGGGGTGAGATTTTGCCGAGAATTGTGAGAAGGTTAATTACAAAAAGAGGGCTTCAGTTGATAGCTTAAATGCCTTTTCCCAAGGGAAAAGTCTTTGCTACTGTGTCTATGATTTCATGTATTCAAGTGGATTTGCGTTCAAAATATCTGCTATTCCTCCATCCATATAGACCAAAAAAATACAGCCAAGAGCTTCATATTCCAAATAACTCTGCCATTACTAGATGAGCCTTCAATTTCCAGCTGTTTAGGAACCCCAAGATGGGTACTAGGAAAAACCCAGTATAGTTGCATTTTGACCAGAAAATGGGTTCCAAATAAGTCTGCTCACCAGGCAATGCAAAAAAGATGATACTCATTTTTCTGTGCAGCATTGCAGAGGGAATTAGGAGAGGTGATAGGGATATCTCTCTTGCTTGTCTTTGGCAAGGCATTTGCTTTGAGCTGCTGTCCATACTAGAAGTGCAACCCTTGAAGGCACTTTGCGTGCCCAAACAACTTTGTGGGGAAGGTGGGCCTACCCAAAATTGGTGTTGCATCATAAATTTGACTGAAAAAAATCCCTTCCTTGTCCCACTTCTAAATTCTGTTATCCTCAGAATCTATTGGCTGAAACTGCTGGAGATGGAGAAGCATGTCTTCTGAAGATGGGAGACTAAGAGCCATTGTTTCCAGCATTAGAAAATATGTCAGCCACAGGTGCCTATTTATTGGTGGCTGCATTGAAGAGGCTGGGATAAGATTCAGCTAAGGTCCTATCACCACACCAAGAATCCAACCAGGCTAGGATAAGACTCAGCCGGAAACCACTACCCAGTTTATTGGCAATGCCTTTAAAACAATGAGCTTTAGTCTTCTGAATGCCCTTCCAAATTGTAGTGGTGGTGGTGTGGGTAGCTTGATTAGTGTCCTATCCTCCATTGGTTGGGTCATACTTGTTTGCAATCGTTTGACTCCAACCTTTTCAGCATTGAATCTTCAATGCCATTATTTTGTTTGCTTTTGTAACGGGAGGGTCACTTCTAATAATACTCTGTAACTGGGAAAATTAATTTGTTATCAACTGACTGGGACCATTCCGATCAGTAACCAGTTCATATCTGAATTGAGCAGCTTGTTTGAACTTGTAACACTTGGACACTTTAACTGTCTTGCATATTGAATTCATTAGTTCGGAATCACCTTGAAGGTAGGGCATGAAGTGGGTGGATCTAATAAATTACAGGAGGCTGCATTGGGTTCTAGTTAATGCATATATAATGGGACCCAGATCCAATCCAATTTCTATTTGTATGTACAGTAGCAATTCAGATATAGCTATGAATATGCATTTCTTGTGTTGATCCTAAGCATGAGCATAGAGGGCATCATGATCCCTGATCATTCATTAAAACTTTGGATGGGATCAATTGTAAAATTTGTATATGGGATACCCACGTTGTTATGAACTTTGGAGGATTACTGATTTCTGTTTCTGTAATGACTGGTTGGTGTGCAGTCGCTGGAGTTGTGGAACATGTCTGAGAACAAGAGCATGACAGTTCCAGCGCACGAAGGTGTTATTGCAGCTTTGGCCCAGTCACCTGTGACAGGGATGGTTGCTTCTGCGAGCCATGACAAATCCGTGAAGCTGTGGAAATAAAGTTTTGGCGATTGGATATGTCCCTCTGAAGCAGTTGGCTTTGCCTCAAATTCAACGGAATCCCAACAAATCGTTGCATTGTGTTTGATATTTTTTCCTGGTTTAGTCTTTTCTGTTTTTCCACTTTGTTTGCTATTTCTTGTCTCCTTTACTGTGTTGGTAAATAAACTGGGAAGGGGTTCCTGTTGTTGTTTGGGACGGCATTTTCAAGAGATTTGTACTGCGACAGCAAGATGTGGGTTTTAATGGTATTTAGACAGATATACAGGAGAATTGAAAAAGAAAAGAAAGTTCACACTTTGAAACGGTGGAAAGAGAAATGATGAGTTTCCATGTCTAAAGATTCAGTATTGGTTTCATGTATAGCTTTGGCAAAGCAGATTCGAATCGTATCTTATCCGTAGGGTTAGAATCAATATGCAAGACACTATCTCTATAAGAGATGAAGGTGTTGTTAGTAAAATTCTAAGTCAGCAAGGCATTGAGTTGTCCAGCATTGTGAGCGTTGGTTGTAATGTTTTTTAAAAGCGCAATTGAAAATGAGCCAAATTTCTAGAATGGGAGTGAGCATATGGAGTTATAGCATGATGATTCCAGACCTCTTGCAAGAAACCAAAGTGCAAATAGCATCCAATCACAAATTGGGAATATCTCATATGCATGTATGTTAAATTCATGGGGAGATGTATCCAATCTGTCGGCTGTGGTTGGATTTCCATGCCTGTAGACTATGTGCAACTTTTCTTACGAAAACTAAAGAGTATGTGCAAGTGCAACTTATTACAACTTCTTTTAAGGTAAAGCACATTAGAAGATGTGCTTTTAAAAAAAAAAAATCAATGGGACAAAAATATGTGCTTGACCTTAATAGGTGGATATATGGTGAGAGAGTCAAATTAGCAGCAACAATGAGGAGAAAACTCACAGGGCTTGATGCCATAATTCTTCATGTCAAACAGAAGATTTGTATTTAAAGTTCTTACTAAAAACAAAAATTTCTCTTAGACAAAAACCAAAGGAATATTTTTTTTTTCTTCATGGGGCTACACAACGGGGGTAGTCCATCCCCTATCCCCTTAAACCTTGAACTTGTTGATGCTTTTATAATAACTAGTAAGTGTGAATATGTTATGCTTATACGTGACAATTCTAAGTGATAATAATGATAGTAACAATGTATCTGATTTTTTATAAATTTTATGTATTATTTGTTTTTAATTATTAATCGGATGCATATTGCCAAATCTAAATTTGATTACATAAACACTTCATACTACGTACGCCTTTTGGGCCCTGACTCACCCTCTGTGGACAAACCTTGTGGAGGAATCCTTAGGTTTTTGGGGCATTGGATCCTCACCAATGTTTGTGTTACTCAAGCCAACATTCTCGCTTCCGCTTCATCCACACCTATTTGCGTGGGTGCTACCATCTAAGGCGGAATGCTCCCCTATCGATGCATTTTTACATCCCATAGCTTTGGCAGATTGCTTAGCTCCGTTCATCTTTGGCATAAGAGCACTCAATCAATGAGCTATTACACACACTCTTGCAAAGGTGGTTGTTTCTAGGCAAACCTCTTGGTTGTCTCTGCACCCCTACCTCCTTTATCATTGAGCAGTCATATCTAGTATTCAGAGTTTGCCTCGATTTGGTACCATTCTCGCGGCCCGCACCAAAATAGTGCTTTACCCCTAGATGTCCAATCAACTGCTACACCTCAACGCATTTGAGGGGGAGCTAGCTAGCTCTGGGTTCAAGTGGCATTTCACTCCTAACCACAATTCATTTGTTAATTCTTCAGCATCAGTCGATTTAGATCTCCACTTCCCAAGCTTCATCCTAGTCATAGATAGATTACCTGGGTTCGGGTCCATAAGCAGTGACAATTGCCCTATGAAGACTCGCTTTCGCTACGGCTCCGGTGGGTTCCCTTAACCAAGCCACTACCTATGAATCGCTGGCTCATTCTTCAACAAGCACGCAGTTAGAGCCATGGGCTCCTCCCACTACTTAGGAGCTTATGGTTTTGTATTCTATTTCACTCCCCGATGAGGGTACTTTTCACCCTCCCCTTATGGTACTACTTCACTATCAGTCACATAGGAGTATTTAGCCTTGTAAGGTGGTCCTTGCTGATTCACAYGGGATTCCACGTGCCCCATGCTAGTCAAGTTAGAGTGTAAGCTAGTGATGCTTTCAGCTACTAGACTCTCGCCATCTAGGGTGTAGTAGTACTCCACCGCTTTGCCTAGAAGCACGACACTTGTATTGCTCTCCCACAACCCCCTTTTCATGGTTTAGGCTGCTTCCATTTCGTTGACCTATTCAGGAATCTCCAGATCTATGTTTATTTTCAACTCCCCAAATCATTTTGTTGCTTACTATGCCCTTCCTTGTTTTTAGGTGCTTAGGTATCCACCATAAGCCTTTCCTCATTTGAATCTTGTTGTTAACTTTAAGGCTATGACATCCTAAGGTGTTGTTAAATGGAAGGATCTTATCAACGTCCATAAATGATAAATCATAGATCGAACTGCCGAATCGGAAAAATTTGGTGCTATCATATACCTTTGTATCGGCTAAGTTCATGAGCTGGAGATAAGAGGACTCGAACTATTGACATCCACCATAGGGTAAACCACTGCCTCTCAGGCCTCCCTGACTAGTTCTACCATAGAGGCCAACGATAGACAATAACTCCCCCCCGAACATAGCTTACAAATTTCATCGTACTATGCTCTCCAAAGAGCAACTTTTCTCAAAATCTCAAAAGGTGCTGAGTTGGAATCCCATTCCATTCTAAGGATTCTTGTGGTTCCGGAGGATCCAGCTACAGGAGAACCAGGAACGGAGAGCTTTCCCCCCCTTTCCGCCCGACTCTTTGGTCTTAAGAATGAGTGATTTCTCTTCTCTCCGACACTTATTGCCCAACCTAAGAGCGGATAGCTAATGTGTTCCATTTATTGAACAAGGTTCTATGGTCGACCGCATGACCCCTAGATGCTGAAGGCATCCTTGGGATGATCTCATAGTTCCTACGAGGTGGAGACCATGGGGTCGGTCCATGGATCTTTCTTCCTTTTGCCGCATCTTGCTCAAAGGGTTGAAGGGAGATA